AGCAGCGACACCAAGAACCGACTGCAGTAACACTGATTTTCAGCAGCTTCAACACTCAGTACACATGGCTTCAACACTCAGTACACATGGCTTCAACACTCAGTACACATGGCTTCAACACTCATTACCCACTATTTCAGCACTAAGTACCCATACCAGTGGCAATATGTAGATACAGCACTGTCATTGGGGATAAATAGCAGAATCATTCGAGCACAATAGCCGTAGCACGAATCGTAAACATAGGGTACCATCAACAATAGCAGTGAGTACCCACACCGGTGGCACTGAGTACCCACAGCAGTGACACTAGGTACCCAAGCAGCTGCATTGAGCATGGACGAAATGTACAATGGCTGAACACTGTCATTTAGGACAGTATTTGTTTACGTGCTTTGTGTGTATAGCAAATATAGGTCAAATGAGAAATATGCGTCTTTATTAGTTGACCTTACATAAGAGTTCACGAAAATGACGTAACCGGGGACAACTAAGGCTCTACACATTGAAGGAAGTCTTTTCATATGTAGTTTGTTACAGTAGTGTAGTAGAATCACGACAGCAAGGCTTCAAAATACCCATTCATAAGAGTTAGTCAGCGAGCAGGTGCAGCAGAGTTATGTAACTCTATGCCTGAGCTAATAAAGTATAGTTTTGATGAATTTTGCAAGTGATACTACATCTCATTGCATGTCCGTATGTTTAGTTTGTGATATCCTATTGTTTGTGTGTGGATATTTAGAGAAACACGTGACAGTAAAAACAGTAAAATGACCTGGACTAAAAAAAAATTAAATTTCTGTTTGGTCCAAAAGTGCCTGATGTCGCGTTTTCGCGACATACCGTAATTAGCATAAAAAATAAGTCCAAATTAAAAAAAAACGTTATACCTCAAATTCAGTGTCAGTATGATCAGAGAAAATCAGCGCCAATAATTTGTTACACGCTTGGAACATAATTCAGGCATTAAGGGTTAAATGTATAACAGCGACACGGGAAAAACGGTTTATAAACATTATTTCAATAATCAAAACCACCAACAATTATTGTTGATATTTCTTTTCTTTTCTTTTTTTTTTAGAGACGGAAAAAAAAGATGTGTTTACATTCGTAGAAAATAAAAGGTAAAGTATGTTATAGGGCGCTGTAAAATAATACGTAGCGTTGGGGTTGTTTCTATAAGTTTATAAATAAATTAACATTAATATCTTTATACTTTCGTTTGTATGTTTTGCACCCAGTAGAAAATAAACAGTAATGTATGTTATAGTTCGCTGTAAAATAATACGTAGCATTGGGGTTGTTTCTATAGGTTTATAAATAAGTTAATATATAAATGTTTAAACATACATATAGTTATACTTTTGTTTGTATGTTTCTTCTAAACATAATCTTGTTATACCTAAGACTTTCTGAAATTTGAATGGCATAATAGCTTGTCAAAGATACCCGGAAAATCCAAGGCCAATCCCAATACCCGCGTTTACTTAAAGTCATATCCACACACACACACACCGGCTAAACCCCCGGGCCTAGAGCAACCCGTTCATATGTGCCGCACCCGTCCCAGGCGGCTGTCACTAAATACCTCATCCCCACACCACTAACCTCCCAAACCCAGACCCTAATATACCATTCGCCTTCTTCACCCATCCCCTGAGCACATATGTTCAAGCTAACCAACTACAAAGTTAACAGATTGTTTTAAATTTAAAAAAAAATATTCGCTGCATGCCAGTCTGATAATATTGAGGTACACTTGATTTTTGTGAATCCTTGCCGACACTTTCACTATTAACATTGTTTGCGTCACTTCTACATATAGGTACAACAACACAACAACACTATTATTAATTAAAAAATTCAGCACCCTCTATTTTTACTCTCGATTCAAATTTAACTCATCTTTTATTATTTATACACTTTTAAATCGATCAAAAACTAAATGCACACAATAACTTACTCAGCAAATCTTTACAATTTCGATTTATAAAACGGATTGCGAAGATCAAATTAAAACAAATAAAAACGTTGTCAATATACTGAATTAAAAACAATCTTAGATTTATTATGTACAAGTTTAAATATGCGCATTAAAAGTTTGCGTGCTGTGTAAATTAAGAAAGTAAATCATATGAAACAGTCCGTATGTTTAGAAATTTATCATTTGTATATATATATATATATATATATATATATATATATATATATATATATATATATATATATATATATATATATATATATATATATATATATGTTTATTTATTTATTTATATATATTGGATTGTAAATAAAACTGTAATGTTTTATTAACTCTGTTTTATGTTTCTCCCTTGCAGAACACAAAATGAATAAAATAAACTTCTAGAAAAAATAAACATCTGACATTGACAATGTTTTTAAAATTATTTTTATCATTTGGTTTTTTGCTACATGAACGCTGAACATACCAGATCATTCAGCTGTGTCGCCAGATATAAAGATATTATAAACGCTGACTGATGGGTCAAAGAGATGTTCAACACAACTAGTGTTTTCTTTTGCAATAGTAGTATTGCGATGTATGTCATTGTCAGTCATTTATCAACTTTGAATTTTAAAATTAGTTAGTGAAATTATATGGATACCTTTATGCCAAAAAACGAAGAGATCGTATACCTACAATAACTGGTTAACCCCTCATAATTCTCTTATATCTTCTCCTCCCCCACCTACTCCCCAGGAAAAAAAAATATCTGCTTTCATTTATTAATGTTGCGGTGTTTATAGATGACAATATAATAGCATTTGCTCCTTTTTTCTAAGCAGAGATTTAATTATTTATATAATAACTACAACAGTAGCAAAATAAAAGCAGTCCACTTGTAAACATTGTGAAAGAATTTCAATATAAGGAAGATAAGTCAGGCTTATGCAAATGTGGTCATCTAAGCTATACGCCTACAGGTGAATTACACAGTTCAACAATATTATTGATTTTTTTATAGAAAAGCAGGCTAAATGTTCTGAATGGCGCATACTAATTTAACACGTATTACTGAATTCGGAGCAAATGCCTAAAATTAAGATTTAAAATGAAGAAAGAATAATAGTAATTATTTGTTTTAATCATTTATTTATTTATGGATCCCTACATATCATCTAGAATAGTGAAACAAATTGAACTAGCACAATAAAATTGACTCAATTTGCAGCGCTTGCGGCATGTATATATATATATATATATATATATATATATATATATATATATATATATATATATATATATATATACGTCTCAGTCGTGGAAAGTTTTGTTTTCATTTGACTGTAAAAGTTTTTGTTTGTCTTGTCTTTTCTCTAGAGCGTTTATGACAGAGTTCCACGCACACGGTGAAAGAATTGTGTAACTATAGGCATGAAAAGCTGGTTCCTAAACTTTGTTGCAAGAAAGCATATTTTTTTTTACTAAACTTGAATTATATATATATATATATATATATATATATATATATATATATATATATATATATATATATATATATAGACATTTGCTCCGAATTTCGTATTCGATCAACAATCAGTATAAAGCAGGTTTATGTCAATCCATCGATTTATTTTTTTATCACAACAAGATTGCTTTTACATTAAAAATGGCAGGTCCGCGTGTCAAAGCAAGCGGATTATCCCTAGGATTGTAATAAAACAAGGTTCCCTATTTAGAGTATTAGTTCCATATTATGTGAAATGTTTTCAATTTAGCGTAAATAGAACTCCATAGGTTCCTTTTTGACTTTGAAATTATATAACACACTGTTCCTTTTTGGATGAGAAATATAAAAAAAATAGATTTCCTGATGTTGTTAACATTATTTATGTAAAACCAATTACATTCAAGTTAAATTAACTTGCTTAGCGCATACCATCAAGCTACGTTACCTTAGCATTCAGTGAGGAGCTGGCAAAGTGAAAACACGAACATGTTGAACATTAAAGTTGCTGTGGTCCTGATGGTATTGCTTACAACAGCCACTTCGTTCATGTTGATGAACAGAGGTAATATGTTCACATGTTGTATTGCTATAGGTTTACTAACGTTAACGTATTCTTGTGGAGACCCTTAGGAGAAAAGCGCTAGAATTAGACTTCACCACTAGTTGAGTGAATAATCTGGGTCGGCTGCTTTGTCAATTTTATTTTCTTTATTTACTTTCTATTTTTATCTTGGAAGGAGGGCATAAAGTAGTTAGATGTAGCGGTTGATTAAAAGTTGGTATATCGGGAATGTTTGATAGTTTGTAATTACGCAAGATATATTTAATAATATAATTATCTTTGGGAATTACTGCGTGCATGTCTATTGCAAAACCTGAAAACATACATGAAAATAAGATAATTTCAAATGGCGATCATTTGTGAAGTAGAGTTCATGTACATCTTGACCTCGACACGTGAAGGGTTTTTTTGATGGGGTGAAATGTATGCGTTGCTATATTAAACTATATGATGACTACTGCTATAAATAACACTCCAGTTATATTACTATAAATATGTATTGAGGACGGGAACACTCTTATTTTCCGACGACACTAAGTTGACGATATAAACAACTTAGATCATAAAATAGAATTAATTTTATTATCAATTACAAGAACTACACAATATCAAAACACGTCATTTTCCTACAATGGCTAACCCCCAACTGTCTTCAATGTTGCGTCCTACGTCATCGGTAACATTGTCGAGTCATGCTCAATTCAACTCACGCCACAAATATTTTATTAGACACGCACACAATAGAGCTGGTAAGTATGTCACCAACCAGTTCTACTGCTCAATAAAATCTGCATTAGCCATAGAACTGGTTGGTGACCTACTTACCAGCCCTATACCCTCGAACCAAATTGTCTACCATAAAATTTACACCGTCCTTATTAGTCTCTACCAGTCTAGTCTTATTTTATCTATCTAAGCTATGACAGATTGGTTGAGTAAGCACTAGGCCTGTCCGTCTTTACGTACTTCAAGAACTCGATACGTTTAAAGGCAAACACCGTGACTAATTCATTTTTATTACTGTTTAAAGTCTCTTATACAAAAGATCAATTTTAACATCTAAATTGTATGTTTTTTTTTATTTAACATTTTATAGCGGGACATCTAGAGAAACGCTAGAGAGTCCTTGCAAACACGTGACCTAAATCACGAGATACATGCGTCCGCCGCCACAGTGGTGTACACCGGACGTAAACACAATCAGCTGTTCACCAGCGCTTGACGCGTTCACTGTATGTAAAGAACCGCACCGGCGGAAAAGGAAAAATACGTTAAAAAACTTGAACTCTTAGGATAACTCTTACAAAACCAACACTGCAACGGCTAATATAATTCACGGGTAATAACCAATCTCAGCCAATCTGGGTAGCATGTTATACAATTTAAGACCCTTATAATCCAGCAGGGAAGTGATCAGACACATTAATACTGATGTTCAACCCTCATGATGGCCAGCCCCAACTTTTTTCTAACCCACAATAAAACCAAAGAGGAGCCAGTACCACTGCCCTTCCCTGAACATTTCTCACCTCCGTGATACCCAGCCCCATAGAGATAGTATCTCTTATATAATTTTGACCCTCAGGGCCCAGCAGGGAGAACAAAGGGGAAAGTCCCACTGCTCTCCCCTCAACATTTCTCACCTCGATGTCATGTTATGTCATTTAGAGCACACATGGCTTATCAGGGGAAACCTACACACTAGTATACTAGCTACACACTAGGTGCCTTCTGTAAACTACTATACTGTAGGCCCCATGTAGACCTGCAATTGTATCAATTGTAGACTGGGTCCATTGTTTTTGGGCCTTAATAATTTATTAAAGCCTTCAACTACAATAATATCAACTACATGCGTGTATACACTTTTTACAATTTAATTTAAATAGCAGATTCTAGATCTAAGTCTAGTCATACTCATACAATTTATTTCAATTTCAGAAAATTTCGTTTGCTCAAAAAATGATTAGATTATAGAGCGAGATTTCAGATCTTAGAGACAATTAAATGCTTTATTAGGCCTATTATGACTACTTTTGATTTATTATGGGTGTATTTTGAATCGAATGCAGATCTAAATTTTGTAATTAAATTTAAGTAAATAAGTAGATTCTAGATTCTATGTCTACCCAGCGGAGCCAGTCACCCTAAATCCAGAATCTAGATCTGCGGTCCGAATAATAGTTATCTTTTATAGGTAATTAAAATGAAGGTTATTATTTTACTGTCCTTACCTGAAACAAAGTGTCGAGAACAGATTCGCATCTTATTTGCCCGCTGCTTCACTCACCCGCTGCGATAAATATTGGCTAAAAATTGACGGCGCCTATGTTCTGTTAACTGTCGATCTCTATCATCTAGGTTTAATATAACCCTTGGCAGTCGAAATAAAGGAATCCCTTTTGATCTGCCACTTCGAGTATCACAAACTTTCACCGCACAGATCACCATTTTGACTGTAGATCTGTACACCGAGATGGCGGATGTTTACATTCACGAACGGACGTGACGTCATATGAAAGGACTCTATACTCTCGAACCAAATGTCTACCGTAAAATTTACACCGTCCTTATTAGTCGCTACCAGTCTAGTCTTATTTTATCTATCTAAGCTATGACAGATTGGTTGAGTAAGCACTAGGCCTGTCCGTCTTTACGTACTTCAAGAACTCAATACGTTTAAAGGCAAACACCGTGACTAATTCATTTTTATTACTGTTTAAAGTCTCTTATACAAAAGATCAATTTTAACATCTAAATTGTATGTTTTTTTTATTTAACATTTTATAGCTGGACATCTAGAGAAACGGTATGTTGTTGTTTTTTTCTTCACATCTTAAACCAGGGTTGGACTGGCTGTAGGTTAGTTTACAAAAATGGACCCCAACCCCAGACCACATTTGTCATTGTAGGGGTGCGACGTGGTCCAGTCGGTAAAGCTAAACCGAAAAGTCTCGAGTTCGAACCCTCGGGCAGATTAGCTGGGGACATCCACTAGTCTAGGAGATACAACTCCAAAATCAAACAACAGATGCCTTGTAGTTTGTTCGAGGTTGGACAAATGCTATGGAAACAAATCCAAAAAAATCAGGCTGAAATCGGAGTCAATGGCCTCAATGGCGCATAACCAGTTGACACGTATATATAACTGTGTTGGAGGGGATCCCTTCCAACACTAAAAAAAGAACGCAGAAGAAGAAAAGAAGAAGACATTGTCATTGTACATTTTCCTCCACCAGCGTCTGATGATAAGCCTAATCTGGATGGTAATTTACCCGGCAATTTTAATTTTAAAAGTTCACGCACTATAAGACCTAGTACACCACCATTACTGGCCCCTCCCCCTATCTCTTACTAAGGTGCCCACCGGTCCAGTCCACCCCTGTTTTTAACTACTTATGATTGGTCCGTCTTCTTATAATATCTTCTTATAATATCTTGACTAAGCTACTAACAAGCATTGCATTAAACAAAGATTGATTTTGTATTCTATTTGTTCTTCTCTTTTATGTTTAAACCATCAGTGATTGCGTTAAACAAACGTTGATTTTGTATCCAATTTGTTCTTCTTCTCTTGTTTGTTTAAGCCATCAGTGATTGCGCTAAACAAACGTTGATTTTGTTATCTATTTCTTCTTCTTCTCTTGTTTTGATTAAACCATCAGTGATTGCGTTAAACAAACGTTGATTTTGTATGTAATTTGTTCTTCTTTTCTTGTATGTTTGAACTATCAGTGATTGCGCTAAACAAACGTTGACTTTTGTATTCTATTTGTTCTTCTTCTCTTGTATGTTTAAACCATCAGTGATTGCGTTAAACAAACGTTGATTTTGTATCTAATTTGTTCTTCTTTTCTTGTATGTTTGAACTATCAGTGATTGCGCTAAACAAACGTTGACTTTTGTATTCTATTTGCTCTTCTTCTCTTGTATGTTTAAACCATCAGTGATTGCGTTAAACAAAGATTTATTTTGTATCCTATTTGTTCTTCTTTTCTTGTATGTTTGAACTATCAGTGATTGCGCTAAACAAACGTTGACTTTTGTATTCTATTTGTTCTTCTTCTCTTGTATATTTAAACCAACAGTGATTGCGTTAAACAGATTGATTTTGTATCCAATTTTTTCTTCTTCTCTTGTATGTTTAAACCATCAGTGATTGCGTTAAACAAAGATTGATTTTGTATCCTATTTGCTCTTCTTCTCTTGTGTGTTTTAACCGTCAGTGATGATTGGTGCCGGGGAAAATGGCAGGAATGTGTATATACCCAGTTACCCTGTTGCGATGGATACTACTGCAGGTAATAAGGGGGTCATCCATAAATGACGTCACGCTTTTTTAACGTTTTTTTACATCCCCTGTCCCCTCCGTCACACATTGTCACAAAAAGCCTCATCCCCTTCCCCCATCCCAAAAAAATGACGTCATACCTCAGCCTAGAACCCCCTTCAAAATTGCAGTTTAACTTTTCTTAAATCATCGATATTTTTCCAAAATTTTGTCAGAACTCTATCATCATAGAGCATTCTAATCAATTCCTATTACGCTTTATTTAAACAGATTTCTAATACGCGAAATAACGACTAAAATTCGTTTTCTAACATTTTTTTATAATGCAAAAGTGTGAAGTCACACCACCTGAAACATCCCCCCCCCCTGTCATCACACACGGTGACAAATTACGGACACCCCTCCCCCTTAGGAGTGTGACGTCATTTAGGGACGACCCCGTGTCTTTATATGTTAAATATATTTGCAGAAAAAATACCTTGTTTTTTGTGTATTTTCAAATTATTTCCTGTTCATTTAAACAATGTAATATTTTATTTTACAAATCCGTTATGTATTGCTGTCTTTGTTAGGTTTTTAACCAATATTTGTCTTTTGTTTTATTTGTTGTTTTTCATTTGTTTTTTTTTTAATTATTGTTTTTTTTTTGCCGAAAAAAGTCATTAAACAGTGAATTGCGCATTCAAATGTAAATACTACAAGGAAAAAAAACATTGCTTTCTTCATATTTTTTAATTTGTAGATCTCCCAATCGTATCCAAACGAAAATGTATGATATTATTGGAATAATATTGTAAATTAAACAGGAACACAGCTTAAATAAATAAACAAAGCTAACGTTTAACTTATAACAATAAAAAGAAGATTAAAAAAAAATATATATGTATAATGTCTGCTTCAATGCCGAACACATAACTTTACATTTTTGTGTGCATACAATCGTCTCGGCTACTACGTCACATATCTTATCTGTGAAAATATTTCTAATTAATTAATTAAGGATATGGAACAATATATATATATATATATATATATATATATATATATATATATATATATATATATATATATATATATATATAATATTCACATTCGCAGTAAATATGCTCAAGTTTGTTTTCCAAACGTAAAATGAAGGTAATGTATGTGTGTATTGAAAAAGTATTGCACATAAAAGAACCTCAAATTATTCTTAAAATACAACACTGATAACTATCCCAAGACCAAGAGATAGAGATATATTTTAAATATATATATATATAGCCTATATGACATAGTCAATTGATATGTTCAAAGCTTTAAATGGCTCTTTTCATTGTGTGTATTATATATATATATATATATATATATATATATATATATATATATATATATATATATATATATATATATATATATATCGCACACACACTCCTTACCTTGTTGAGCTGTAAATAAACGGAAAACGGCTGTTTTTAAGCCTTGAGTATGGACTGTTACAGAAGTTTTCTTACACGACCCAAGTGCTACACTATCTATTGTTTTATATTATAAAATAAACAATAACCTTTCAGTTCCAGATTTCTATTGGAAGATCTTTTGCATCAAACAAGACCGCAAGCGTCTTCTGTGTGTTGGATTTAAATTGATTTTATTTCTAGAATGATTTAATGAAAGAGATAAAGTTTTAAGATGTATTCAATGATTAAAACAATAACATAATGTACACAATAAATGTGTGTGTAATATGTTGATTCCACCTGGGCTTTGCTATTAGTGAAAAAAAGAGGGATTTGTTTAGGCATAGACAGTGACATCATAGCATTAATTCTTGATTATGCGAAGCAAAGTGTGTCAAATTGTTGCTGTTTAATAAAACATAGCGAATAAAGCAAATACTGACAAGAACAATCCGATGGTATTTGGACTGGGGTTTAGTGTATCGCATTCCGTACCCTCAACTCTGATGGGTACCTATCTCACACTAGGGAAACACATGCGGCTAGGCATAGTGCTGACCATTGTGTCAACCTAGCATGCTGAGATCTTGAAACAGATGATCTCTACTTCATCTGCCCCATGTGTCTTAGATAGTATACTACTTTTCTCTACATATACTTTTATAATAATATTTTAAGAAAGACCAGCCGTTAAACAACTTTGTAGGATCACTGGTAGTAGGGGACAAAACCTACTCTGTCACTTAGAACAATTTTTATTAGAAACTTTATAAAGTCCAAGGTATTTTGATTAAGGATTTTTGCTGTGAGTTATTTATTTTTTTACTTGTATGTATAAAAATATGAAGGTCATCGTGTGGAAAGTATAAATGACGGTCTAAAAAATAAAATATACAGAACAATGTTTGAGTATTGTCCGAATTCAGTAAAAACAGAACCTATGTTTAGGGGAACCGGATATCGGACAGAGTGGATTGTTAAGGACTTATGTTCCATGATGAGTAAAGAGGATTAAGTCAAGCTAGTTATTGTCCGAATAATAAAACCAACCACTAAATATTGAGTATGCTAAAGTCAATTTAGATTACAATATGTAAGCTTTATATTGATTTGATGCTAATTAATTTGCAGCTAAGTATCGTTTCTTCGTTTGACGGTCGAAATAAACAGGAACTCAAAACCTACTAAACCAACGTTTTCATTTTAACAATAAATCAAAGTATCAACCAATCTTATCAACAATGTTCCTAGACAGCGAGTAGTAATGTTTGCTTACAAGCAACAGAAATACCACAAGTCGGATCACTCGCTCAAGCTAGTATGCAATACGATAATAATATATAAACAGTAATGTTTCAATACAAATCTTGTAACATCCGTTACCATGGAAAAAGAGTTGTATATCCCAGAGTTTCTTCCAGACATGTTCCCCACCCTAGACAAAATGGATTTTATATAGAAAAAAAAATTAACATTGTCCTCCAACTCCCCGGAAATTTAAGCCCCCCCCCCCCAGGAGAAAATAAACTGGAAGAAACACTCCTTCCTCCCATCCATGTTTGGCAGATATCACAAGAGTGACAGTAACGCCAGCGAGTATGTTTAAAAAAAAGTAAATTTCCCTTTTCAAACCCGACGGTCTATATGGCAAGTGAAGTAGAGTTCACTTGTTTCTGTGACTTCGGCATATGAAGAGATAGTGTGGTCAGCACTATGCCCAGCCGCCTTTACTTTCCCTAACGTGAGTAGGGTGGACTCAAGGACTTCGAACTCGGATTCGAACTCGAGACTTACGGGTTAGCAGTCACGCTCTCTAGCGCTTGACCATTCCGTCCCTATGTTTTTCTAATATATAATTTTATTTTCGCCATACAATAACAGCATTTTTAAAATTATGATATCAACAAAATCTATTGGGAAATTATTTATTTTTTTGCAGACCACAATACGCTCTGTTTGTTGATACACTTTAAAATCTGTAGTGTGACAATAGACTGGAAAAGTGGTTCCAAAAGTGGTTCCACTTTGTGTTGCCAGAAAGCACATTTTTGAACCAAAATTGAATATTTTATAACATTTGTGAAATAAGTGCAAAGTCACTTCCGGTTTTACTAAGGCTAAAAATATTTAAACACAAAATTACTAATAATATAATAGTAATTTACAAAACATTTTTATTTTAATTTGGATTAGTATAGTCAGGGTGTTGTGGTGAAAGGGGATGTTATATTATTTAATATAAATAAACTACTAGGCTATATTCCATTGTAATAATAAGTAAAGCGTAATTAATATCAACATTTAATATAGGCCTAATCAATCTAGATCGACCTCTGACTATGGGGTCATCTATTAACGATGTCACAACGATGCCAGACCTCCCCCTTCCCCAAAAAAGTAAACCTAAGCCAACCCCCCCCCCCCCCCCCCCCCGCTATTTTGTTTTTAAAGCAGCGATTTTCATAAAATATTTAGACCTATGGGCTTTTCCAACATTCAGTGTAGGCCTATTGATGAATTATTTTATAACAATTTATAAAACAACTTTTAATAATGAAAATAAGGGCTTAAATTCAGTTTCTTAACAAGAGTGTTTGTTGAACATGGAAAAGTGTCATCTTACTTTCTGAACCCCTCCCGCTTGACCAGAGGCGTAGCGACCCTTGCCTGCGCCAAACCTTTATATTTGCACCCCCCTCAAGATTTCGATTTGCACCCCCCCCCTCTCAAGATTTCGATTTGCACCCCTCCCCCCCCCCCTTAAACTTTTGATTTGCACCCCCTCAACCTTTTCAATTTATTTTTCCAACCCATTTTGGCGCCCCCCCCCCCCACGCTACTGCCCTTGACACAAAGGTCCAAATCTCCCCCACCAAAGTCCGAGACCACTACAACATTTTGCTATAATTTATAGGATATTCATTAATTAGTCATACAAACCTAATTACATTTGTTGTTTTGATGGTATCTCTGCCATTACAATTATTAAATAGTTTATCTTAACTCAACATTTCCCTAACCTCATTTGCTACAGCTGCCTATCCTTTATAGAAAACATCTTTTCCTCAAATATCTGGAATGCATCTGATCAGCAAGTCTTTTTCTTTTGTAATTTATAAACAATTACATGTTCATAAACTTGCACAGCCAATAACAACACATTACCAGGAAACAGGCAGTGATTATAGTTTGTTGTATTTGTGGTTGATGGTTAGTTATCAGCCATATTTCTCTAAGCTTGGTCTACATTTATATGCTGGTATTTGTGGTATGGCTAGAATTGAGAAAAACCCATATTCTTGATTCTTCCCTTATCATTATGTTTTACAGCTATGATAGATATATGCAAATGTAAGACTTATAGTGGGACTACATATTTGTGAACACATTTGCTAAAACAAAAGTTCTTGAGTTGAAATTTTAATCCTTTAGGTTGTCTCTGATTCAAATTCAAAGCAGCTTTAACTGGTACCTGACTGGTTATGGACAATAAAACTTAGTAAAAGCTGTTTGACATTTTCCTGACCATACAATTTATTAATATGGAAGGGCAACAAAACTAGGTGAAATCTACTTCAGCACCATATTCTTAAAAACTATTTATAGTTCGCCAGTTTAAGTTAATTATTGAATAAAGGTAGCAATAATTAGTTTCCGCATACACCAGCACACACAACCAGTGCTGAAAAAAAAACATAACAAAGTTTATATTTTCTTTTTTTAATTACCATATTCATTCAGAATATTAAAAAAAATAATTGTTCAATATGAACAAGTTTTCTTGGGTCCAACATGTATCCTTGGATCAGTTTTTAAATTGAGCTTCATCTTGACTATTGTCTTCTCTGTATGCAGTTGTATAATCCACAATATCTAAAAAAAAAACAAATGAATTTCATAAACTGTTATATTAAACTCATTATGTTTACATACTTTCAACTCTTAATGTTATAAATAAAAATATTTGTCTGTCTTATAAAGATCATAAAGCAATGAAGTGTATTTATGTATTGGATTGTATGGGCTATCTAACCATTACCATTCATTAAAAATATAGGTCTAATAGTTTACTTTTAATATTTTAATGTAAGGAGTTTGTCATAAAATACAATAGGCCTTCAAAAGAGTCCAAAAGTCATGTATATATCATTAAAAAAAAAGAAAAAGGTATCAATAAAGATCTACTACTTATGTTTAGCCACCTCAGGAATTAGTTGAAAATTGATATTCAAACTAGGCTACTATAACTATCATTAATTCATACACATACTAGAATAAATATTAGGATAATTATATTAATTTGATTAGTAAGTTAATCCATCTATGACAATTGACACCTTTTGGCTTTATCAACTATTCTGCATTTTAAATTCTAAAGATCACTATATAATACTAAGAGTAGACTAAGTCATATATTAAGTTAATTAAGTAGAACTGAAATAAGACAGCTCTTTACTAATAAGCCTACTCTTCTATTCAGTAATTTTTACTATTATTATTTGAGGCCTAAAATTACTGTAAGACTACAAATCTAGATTAAACTTAAATTTTGGATATTATTTAATGTACTAGTCTGTAACCTTTTATTTAGGCTACATGTTATTTTTACAAGTTTAAAATTATAGCCTTATTAAGCCTAGTTAACTTTGCTTAACTTACATACAAATAATAAATACCTACCCAATCACAGGCCTACTAGACTACTACTAAGCTACTACATCTAAATCTACAGTCTAGATAGGCCTACTGAACTAAAAGTAATATGACAACTGTAAAAATTAAGCATACTTTATTTTTTTTACAATACTATTTTAAGCCTATAGACCTACTGATATTAAATAAGAATCTATTAGTTATTAGACTAACATAAGTCATCATAAGTCTAATTAGTAATTACCTCTAACTAGGCCCTAATCATATTAACAAAGTAAGTATTAGGACTCTCATCTGTCCCATAGAATACTACTACTATAGTAAATATATTTTAACAAGTAGGCTCTAACAAATTAGACTAATCATTTATTAGACTATTTATTATATGACTAGTCTATAAAACTAGTTTATACCAGCTACACATTTATAATATAAACTATGGGCCTAATTTATTTAACTTATCTATTATTACTATTAACTTAAAATACTTCAATATACTTAATGAATTATTTAATATAGATTTTTATAAATATGTAACTTCTAGATCTAGACTAGAGTAGATCTCTTATTCTCTACTAC